ATGTATTTTTGGTCTTGAATTCTATTTGCAATCCCTGATCAAGCCTATAAGTCTTAATTAGGGCATTTTGCAATGCAGCACATCTCAGAAGTCTCCATGTTAGCTGAAAAATTGAGCTACCTTCTGAAATACAAGATAAGGGTTTGGGCAGAGAAGTCAGTGCCAGAGATGAAATGAAATTTTCAGAGTCAGGAATTAAATCTTCAGGATGCCACGCTGAATTTTAAGTACAGCTTTGCAATCCGAGAGGCAAGCCGCCATTTCAAAACGAGGTAAAGCAAGCAAATGGCTTTGATGAAGTGAGAGCTTACTTCCATCCCCCAACAAAAAGAAGGGGGGAGGGCGGGCAGAGGAAGGATTCCAGTGAAAAACTGTCAGATAATTTAGCCTAGAGTGGATCTCTCCCATTCCCATATTTCCCAGATACAACAAGGAAATTACATCATTGGACTAATTGGATACAAAATACCCTTTTCAGTCTATAATCAGCAAGAAATCCCAAAGAGATGCACAGTTAGTCAAGCCAAATCCCAATCAGCCTTGTTTTGGTGTAAAGCCTGGAATTCCCAGTGTGGCATTTTGTGTAATGCCACGAGCAAGTTGTTGTTGTTACATGCTGTCAAGTTGACACCGATTTACAGTGACCAAATATGGCTTTCAAGGTAAGTGAGGTATCTAAGGAGTGGTTTTATCAGTTCCACCTCTCACCAGTGAGTTTCCACGACTGAATGGGGAATCAGCCATTGATCAAGAGTCCTGGTCTGTCACTCTATCCACTCCACCACATTGGGTACCCCCATGAACAAGTTCATGCAGGGAAATTGACATCTGGACTGATTAACTATGCAGCTTTTCAAGCCAGAAATCTAAGATCGGACTTTGGCAAGAACTTAGGAGTTGTGGCATTGTCCCTAGAATGGTTACATTTACAACCAATTCTTTCCCATGAATGCGCTTATCACTTCACTTCTCCCATGGACCACCAAATCAGCCCTTAAAAATGCAATGGAATGATCTCAAGTGAAAAAAGGTTTTACTGTATCTTCTGTTTGCGTTTGTGGCTCACGAGCCAGAAGCCAAATTGGGGATATTCAGCTCCTGCCTTGCAATGCCAGAGGTCCTTTTAACAGCAACAGAGCAGGAGGCATGATGGACTGCATCATATATGGACTGTTGCTTCTTCTCTATGTATGTGGTCTTAGCCTATCCACCAACATGACTTCACAACAGCAATTTTCGCTTAAGGCTATTGCTTCCAGCGATGTTCAATCCCTTTGTTCCCTTCTTTGCCTGAATAACACAAATGCTCCTTACCTGGGAAAGTACCCAGTGTTCTGTTCAGCCACAACTGTGTGAATCAGGACTTTTCAGAATTGTGGGTCAAAAGGGGGAAGCCCTGAAAATGGGTTCCAGCCCACCAAACAGCAGTTCAGTTTTTAGGGAAGCAACAGAACCTCTTTCACTGAAGATTTTATTTGGAGAGTCAGGATAAGTCTCAAGCAGGAATGGCCTTCAGAATGTACTGTTTTCTTTTTCTTGCTAACAAGACATGTATTTTCAAGCCAGAATACCTACAAAAATGCAGGGAACTTTAAATCATGGATGCAGCTGCGCAGTAGTCAGATATGGCAAAAAGTTGCCTTTGTGCTACAGTTTCTGGAGCATCTCGGCCACCATAGCCAGTAGTCAATCTAGCTAGCTGTTCTTGGACTTGAAGTTGGAAAAAATTTTCTCCCCTCCAGTAACTGCAAAACTGATTTGAGAATTCTGGATTTCATAAACCTGCAATCAAGTTTTTGTTAACTACTGTATTTATAGAAAGCATTTACTTCTCACTTTTCTGTGCTTAAATGTATAACACATTCTTCAACAGGTTAAAAAACAATTTGAAAAACCCGTTTTCAAACCAGCCTTAAAGACTAAAGCCAAATGGAACACTTGATTCTGGCTGCCTGTTGAAAGCTCAGCAGGGATGGAGCTAATATGATTTCCCTTGGGAAGGACTTGTGCTATCTAATTTGCATTGTCAAAGTTTCTGTAGAGAAAAAAACCCCAGCCTCCTGGGATGGCTGGATGTGCAACAAGGCTTCTACTGAGGAGCTTAAATTCCAGATAGGCTTAGACTGGAAGAGGTGATCTTATAAATATTCTGACTCCAAGTTCTTTAGGACTTTGTAGATCAAAACCGGCACCTTGAATTGCGCTGAGGAACAAATGGGACGGCAATGCAGTATGTACAAGACTGGTGATGCATGGCCTCAAAAGTGCTTACTAGGCAACAGTCTAGGCGCTACCTTTTGCATTAACTGTAGCTTCCAGACACTTTCCAAGTGCAGGCCCATGTAGAGCACATTATAGTAATTAAAGTAGGAAGTAATTAAGGCATGATTCATTGTGGACAAAATGGTTTTCCCTAGGAAGAGGTGCAGCTGATGCACCAGAAAAGCTGGGCAATGGCACTTCTTAGATTAGGTATTTCTAACAGCAAAGCCTTGAAACTTCAGAGGGATAGTAACTCCACCCAGAACAGGCTATAATTCCAGTCTGAAGCTTTTATTTTATTAACCAACTAAACTTCTGTCTTGTCTAGATTAAGCTCTGTTTGATCACTCCTATTCCACCCATCACTGTATCAAGAAAGGCATTCAATATTTCCACAGCCTCTTTTGTATTAGTTGTGAATGAGAGACAAAGCTGGTTATCATCAGCATAGTGGTGAAACTCAACCCCCCAACTCTGGATCACCTCTCCCCATGGCTTCATGTGAAAGTAAACTATTCTATGGGAAAATATTTAGCCTATGCTAATAACCATGAAGCCAAACAGCACCATCTTCTGGGAGTCTTTGACCAAATATAATCAGAACCTCCAACTCTGATTTCAGCTAAACAATCCAGAAGAATACCATTATCCATGGTACTAAATGCCACGGAGAGGTCTAATAGAACTAACAAGGATGCACAGCCTGTGTCCAGTTCCTGGCATATGTCTTCCACCAAAGTGACAAAGTCTGTCTCCAAACTAGCCCTGAATCTATACTGGAAAGGAGCAAAATAAGCAGCTACATTGAAGAAAGCCTACTGCTGTGCTGCCACCACTAGTTGCCCAAGGCCCAATAGGCATGCACATGGTCAGAATCGTCTTGTTTTTAAAAAGCATCAAGGAACCAAAGTTCTTGTCATAATCTGTAGTCATATGCTTTTATTTGCCTAACAAAAACTGATGCTCTAAAGGAACCAAACATTACGTGTCTTTAAAAAATTATAGATAATTATTTAAATCCCCCTTTTTCATACGTTAAGGAAAAAATAGCATTTGAAAATAAGATTTTGTTTCAGTTCTGAAAACAGTTGTTTTAGTTTTGAACAGATTTATGGTTTTCTAACTGTATCTTCCTGAGTATTTGTTAATTTTTTAAAAGTCACAAAATAACACTAGGGGTATATGTGTCCTATGCAGAATATTACAAAGGGACGCCTTGTTAGAATAAAATGACATCTCCAAACATATATTGATGGCTTCTTGATGGTTATATGCTGCAAAAACCTATATATGGATCATCATATTATGCCTTCTTATATTAAATTGTACTTTAAAAGCACACTACAATCACAACAATAAAATCAATTAAAGCCCCTACAAACAAAAGAAAAATAATAGCTAAAATTCTGTTTCTTAGAATAGTAAATCACGCTACAGTAGGCCTACTGAATCAATGGGGATTTAGTGCATCAACTCCTCCATTAGTTGCATTGATTCAAATTGGCCTACTCTAACTGTGACTTACTTTGCGATAGTCACAGTTAGAGTAGGCCATTTTGAATCAATACAATGTATGGAGGAGTTCACTCACCAGATCACTATTGATACAGTGGACCTTCATTAGTGTAATTTACTATGCTAAAGGATATGAGTTGGCCAATAAAACTAGTGCAGAAACATCAACTAACTCAAAACTAAGCATCAACAGACAAAATAAAATTCACATTCTGGAAATTTCTTATGATGAAAATGTTTACAAATATTTGATTCTAGGAAAATATTGCTTTGGTTATCAGTTGCATTAGATATTTTCCCCACCTAACATGCATATAAAGTTCTGTTCAGGAGAAGGTTGTGAAAAAATGATTAATGAAATGCCTCTTTGGAGCTGATAACATATTTTCTCATATATCTGATGGATCAGAACATGCAAATGTAAAGCAATTGATTCTCTTTTGCAGGCAAATATCTACAGAAAGCATACAACTATTTATGTATATCTATGCCTGGTGCTGAATTAGACCGTTTGACAGTGATGCATAGCACTGAATGACCAGAATTGTACTGGTGTTTGTGTAAAGTTTGTGTAACTTGTACAGCTAACTGTGGTTAACTGACAAGCTACCAGGGTGTGTCTCGGTCACAGGCTTGGTTACAGAACCAGCTGTGCAACTCAAGATGCACCTCAGGACATCATCAATTTGCCACCATTATCCAGGACAAGTTACACAAATATTACACAAATGACAGCAGGATTCAGACAATGGATGTAGTCTGTCAGTGAAACAAGCACACTTGTAAAATGGATTTTCTTTTTCTGCTGTAATACACAGGCACCCCAAAATCTTCTCCAAAGGGTTGAGGCACCCTCCAGAGCAGATCTGAAGGGGAAACAGAAAAGAGGAAAGGAAAGTCTCCTGAGATAGCATTGGCTAGTATCCAATAGATATAATCTAAAACATAAGACCATATCATCATCACCACCACCACACATTCCGAACTACAAAAAATGGCAATATTAGGAACAGCATACATACTGTGCATTTAACAGATACTTAGGATTTTGGTTAAAACTTGTACCTGTTCTATAATACCAGCCAATGTCTTTATAATTTTGACTGTG